CCCCCCTTCACTGGACGGGCTCACCCCCAGACTGCCTTTGATGACAGTAATCTGTCTGGACTCGCAGTGGTTCTCAACCTTCTGGCCCTTTAAATACAGTTCCTCATGTTGTGACCCAGCCATAAAATTATTTTCGTTGCTACTTCATAACTGTAATGTTGCTACTGCTATGAATCGTCATGTCAATATCTGATATGCAGGATGGTCTTAGGCGACCCCGTGAAAGGGTCCTCCGACCGCCAAAGGGGTCGCGACCCACAGGTTGAGAACCGCTGGCTGGAGGAACAAGCCCTCAAAGGGCGACCACTTAGCCCGGTCCCAGGCGCCCTCTGGTGGCCAGATCGCAGAATGGGGCACGCAGGAGACAGCCCATCCATGATTCTCATCCATGATTCTCTCTTATAGTTGATCTCTCTCTCTCTCTCTCTCTCAAATCAATTAAAAATATTTTTTTTATTAAAGAAAGCCCAGTTCAGGGGGTGTTCCCAATATGTGCCACCTACCCTCTCTCTAACCTGGCCCAAGAGCAGCCAGGGCCGTTCTCCCCTGCATGGGAGGGGTCAGTTGGTGTCTCAAGGGGTAGAGAGGTGGCAGGGTGGTGCAGTGGCAAGTGCTGAGGGCTGGGGTCAGTGGGTGAGGCGTGGGCTCTGCTACTTCTAGGCTGTGTGCAAGCTGCAGACCTCTCTGGGTCCCCACCTTCTGCGACGGGGCTGTCACGGGGAGTCACAGGGCGGGTCCTGAGTCCTGGAAGTAGCCCAGGCTGCGATGAGGGAGGATGAGCGAACAAGCACTCTGGGTTCTGGGCACAGACGATTCACCTTAAAAACGGAGGCCACCTTTCCATTTGGGCTTGCCCATAGTTCGATGTTTGGTTCAATACAAAAGAATGTTCTGCCTGGACAGTGTGGCTCAGTGGCTGAACTCGACCTATGAACCAGGAGGTCATGGTTGATTCCCGGTCAGGGCACATGCCTGGGTAGCAGGTTCGATCCCCGGTGTGGGGCGTGCAGGAGGCAGCCGATCCATGATTCTCTCTCACCATTGATGTTTCTCTCTGTCTCCTTCTCCCTTCCTCTCTGAAATCAATACAAACATATTTATTTTTTACAAGGAGTTTTTAAATCGCCTACTCCCCCTACCTGCCCGGACCCTACATATCTGACACTGGCGTTCGAGGAAGAGGCACCTGTTTCCTCTATGGTTTCGAGGACTCTGTGTGTGTCACCGTAAACCCCGACGGACGTGCTGCCAATCAGAGGGCCCCTCTGAGGGCAAGACCCTTCCTAACCTCAGTGGGGTGGGGTGTTCAGAGTGTCTCCCTGACCTGAACCCCACTTCCCAGAGGATGTCCCAGAGCCCACGGCCTTCCCCCAGAGAGAGAGGGCCCTCACACTCTAGCTGCCGAGGCCTGGGGTGCTGTCCTGACTGCACTGGGGAGAAGCCAGGAGTGGGAGCCCACGCTCCAGGGCCCTGTCTCTGCCGTGTGATCATAACACTCATTGAAGCCCCCAGTTTTCAGTGATTGAGTGAAGGAGCCAGGAGGGCACCCCCCCCCCCAGGTCTGCCTAGCTCCTCAGCCAGGCCTGTCACTGCGGAGTCACTTTCCCTCTTTGACACCCGTTTCTTTATCTGTAAAGCAGAGCTGACAACAAAAACATCAGCGCCCTCCGAGTTACGCAAGGAAGTGTCCAGCGAGTGTTGCCACTTCCAGCACCGTTTCCCCCAGGACCCAGCATACTGACCCACCCTCTTCCCTGCCCAGGGGTACCCCCCTTTCTCCCAGCACCGGCACGTGCTCCCTAGCATGAGGCATCAGGACGCTGGTGCATGTGCATAATCAACACTTTAATCATTTCAAAGGTAGGCTCTGAGCAGCCCTGCAGGGTCCTCGCCAGCTGCTATGCCACGGCTGGCCCTGGGGCCGCCGCCCTGACAGGGGACCTGAGAGCTGGGTTCAAGGCTCAGCCCCTGGGCTGCACCGGTCTCCTGGTAGGACCCCACGGCCACAGCGGGTGGTACTCACACTGCCAGCGGCCAGCGGACTTCTTGTGCTAAGGGGCCTGAGGTGCTTCATGCCCTTCAGACTACGAGTGCCCTTCGTGGGACGCCCGCAGGGCCAGGCTGGCCAGACCCAGCAGACAGACATCCCGGGGAGGAAGCCTGGCTCCCTACTCCCAGGTGGGCAGTGGCTTGGGAGCCTTGCAGGGGTGGTGGCTGGCTGATCCGGGGACATTGCTCCAAGTGCACATGAGGCGGCGGCAGGGCCAGGCACGTGCCTGGACGGAGAAGGGTAGAGGTGCAGAGACTGTTCGAGGCGGCCGGGGGAGGTGAGCTGGGGGCTACCAGGTAACCAGCCTCAGCTCGATGGTCTCTCCATCCTTGGGTCTGTAGTCAGCGATACCTGCAGAGACAGGTGGAGCAGGGGTGTTAACAGGGCAGAGCCCCCCCATCTCATCTTCTGGGCCTCCAGCTGAGGTCAGGGCCCGTCAGATCTGCTCAGGGCTTGGTGTCCAGAGCCAGGTGACCCTCTGAACTCAGCTGTGACCTAGGGTCCCCGAGGCCCACGGCCTCATTTTGCAGCGGGGCAGCCCCCAGAGGGTGGGGTAGGGGCAAGCATACTGGATAACCAAGGCAAGGTGAGAGGAACCAGAGACCAGGACAACACCCGGTGGGCACGGTCTCCATCGTCCCCGAGGGGCTGCCAGGAAGAGGGACTGGAGGGAGGGCCAGGACCACCGGGGAAGACTCCCAGGAGCCAGCCTCCGCTCACTGGAGACAACCCAGGCTCCAGCGTGACGCCTGGGGCCAAGCCCCAGCTCTGTCACTCACTATGGGCGTGACTGTGGCCCGATTATTTCACCTTCGTGAGTGCTGGTGACCCATTTCTGAAGGAGGGATAATAAAGACATCACTAATGGGGCCTCCCTCTTCCTAGGGGGGTGGGCTTCCTGCTGGATTAGAGGGCTAAGGGGTGGGCGGTGGAGGACACAACCACCCACGCCTGCCTCTTTTCCCCCCCCCCCCCCCCCGCCCCGGGCTACATGGTCCATATCAGTGATAGAGGCCGGATCTGCAGGCGTCGTCTGCGGCGACCCCTTCGTTTAATTTATCAATCGGTTCAGAAGCCAGGCTTCTCCTGGGGCTCCCCCAGAAAGTTCCCACCTTCCATAAAGCACTTGGCTCAGCGGTGGGACATGGTAAGTGCTGACTAGAAGTCCCAGGGAGCAGGAGCAGGGACCGATGGCCTTGAAGAGTCTGTCCGCACCCCTATGTTCATAGCAGCACAATTTATAATACTGCAGCTAAGATCTGGAGACAGCCTAAGTGCCCATCAGCAGATGAGTGGATTAGAAAACTGTGGTACATCTACACAATGGAATACTACGCTGCGGTAAAAAAGAAGGAACTCTTGCCTTTTGCAACAGCATAGATAGAACTGGAGAGCATTACGCTAAGCGAAATAAGCCAGTCGGAGAAAGATAAACATCACATGATCTCACTCATGTGTGGGATATAATGATCCACATAAACTGATGAACAAAAGTGGATCCAGAGACAGGGTGAGCGGACCGTCCAGCCTTGGGGGGGAAGGTGGGGAAGGAGGGGTTAGAGATCAACCAAAGGACTTGTATGCATGCATATTAGCATAACCAAT